AAAGTGGGTGTTACATTGTACAGTTGCATTAAGTACCCCCTAATCAGCACGGTAATTTGTGGTAGGTAACAGTTAGGCAATGGCAGCCACAGGGGTCTGACCTACGGAAGATGTTTGGTTCTTCATCTCTAATTAATAGGAAGCGGTCGTTTCCGGGGGCGCCTATAGTGAGTTTGCAAGTTACTTATTATCTACTTATAGTTGTATGTTAATATTGGCTAGGGGCTCCTACCCCTGGATGGATGGATGCCGACTATTCTATAGCTACCCACAGCCCACAGTCATAACCATGAATTATCACATTCTACCATATTGAACAACAGTCCTTCATCTACCAGAGGTTCTTGTTTGGGTGCCAATTGTGCACTTCCATAATTCATACATACAGAGACAATAAGGAATATGCACGTAATTTAGAAATAATACAGACTACTTAATGTAATAAAAATCGATCACGGTTTTGAACTTTTGACTCCCGAGCTAGACAAACAACTTATATGGAAAACATCATCCAATGGCTTCTCCCGCCCGGGTAAGGCGAGAGGGAGTGTCAGACTCTTACTGACTAAAAACCACGCCGTTCCTACTCCTGCACTTCGAACCGGAGCCCCGGCAACCTGTTAAGCCTTCCGCGGCTCCATGTCGGCATCAGCCATATTGGGCCCTATTTGGAGGTGGTTTGATGGGCCTGATTCTGGTCGGACGGCGAGTTACCTGTGCTCACCGTCTGCAGGCCCGTGCTTACGACGCCCGGAGTGTCTCGCGACGGCTAGGGCGTGAGGAGTTTCGTTTCCTCACGCGCCCTGCCTTCTTCTTAGCTAGCATGATTGCTTCGCGGAAAGAGGAGACGGCATCCAAGTCCTCTCTCCGTGCCATGGTCTGATGCAAAGTCGGACGCGAGAGGTCGCCATCACCGATCACATCCCTGAGGACACGGCGGAGCTCAGCCCATGCAGGACACACCGCCAAAGTATGCTCCACCGTGTCCTCATTGTTTTGACACATGAGTTTGGAATTCCTGTGGCGAATAATGGAAATAGGATCGCTTTAGGACATTTTTTGCTAATCGTAACCTCATTTGTAAAAAGTCAGTACCACATTTAACAAGAGCATTTCAATTAGAGACGTGATGAGGTGTAATTTATTGGACTTATAATCTAGCTTGGTTTCCAACAAAACTATAGGTACAATTATTATTGATGTTTCGGACTGTCCTCCTCTATGTATCTGTTCCATTTGATCCATACTTCCAGGGACATGGTAGGTATGTATACCTCGTTTCTATTATTTACTGTGACAGTGCACGGTGACGTCACAAAATAAGTGCACCAAGGAGGTGTTTAAATCATTCGAAAATGATAATAGTTTTACCTTATTTATTTCAATTATTAAATAAAGTTGTGCAATAGTTATATATTTTTGTTATACATTGTTGTATATTTTTTCGGTTTCATCATCACATATAGAAAGGTTAAAACATAAAACAGTAGATGACGTATTGTCAGCTGACTGACTGCCTTTTTTATGGTATAGGAGGCAAACGAGCAGACGGATCACCTGATGGTAAGCGATCAGCGCCGCCCATAGACACCCGCAACACCAGAGGAGTCACAGGTGCGTTGCCGGCCTTTTAATAAGGAATACGCTCTTTTCTTGAAGGTTTGAAGGCCTATTACATCTATATTATAATATTTGACATCGGCACCTCATACACCTTCCAAATGTCCGGGACCCTGCGGTCCCGTAATGGATAGCATAACTAAAAATATTTGGTTATCTTGTTAGACAGTGATGACAAAAACCCTCGCTTCTAGTGTCTATAAAACTAAAAAAACACTACTATATAAGCTTGCTTAGATTTTATTTACAAAAATATTGTTAGGTACAAAATATTATTATAAGAAATATACATTTTCATATTGTCTCATTTGAATTCGTTGCAGTCATGTGGTCTTCAGGTAAATTAACTCAGTGACAGTCTTGAAATCAAACTCGACATGAGGCGTTCGAAGGCCAGTCGCAAATCTGTAAAAAAAAATAACATTACTTGATTGTTACAAAAAATATCTTAAAATTTTTGCTAAAAATTTCACATTCTTGTCCCGGTAAGTTATGTCTTGAAAGCAGCGTATTCTCATCGTAGGCATCATCCTGTTGCGCGGATACGTTTAAAACATTCAAAATCCGTATAACAATTACGTCGAGATCACAAACAACAATTTGCGAGTCACACTTCACACTAATAATCCTTCCGTTCGGGTATCGAACCCACGACATATTGCCCGGCAGCTTGTTATGCAATGCAGGCGCATTAACTCAAGAAGTTATCGGGATATTTATTACATTAATAAACTTACAATTCTAAAATGGTCTCTATAGACTCTATAGTCTATAGTACTACAGATGACTTTACTTTGTCCTTCGAATATTTTCAAAATACGTAATCAAATGGAATTCTAGCTAACTACTCCGAGATGCTATCGGTGGTAATGTGTTACACTGTAAAAAGTGACCATGAATATGCAACTTACCTGTCTGAATTCGTTGAAATGTAAATTGGCAGGACAGCGTCTCAACACTCGACTTCCCCAGACACAATGGTAGAAGGCGGAACAATCAGTTGGGTGAGGCAGCAACCAGTGAATGCTTGGGTCTATAGGGCATCCATTGGGTAGACTAGGTGGTCGAGTTGTAAATACGGTGGAAGGGGTGACGGTGCTGGTGGAACGCGGAGTCGTAGTCGTAGTCGGAGTCGTAGTCGTAGTAGTCGAAGCAGTAGTTGAGGTAGTTGTCGAGCTCGTCGTTGTTGTCTGGGCAGGAATATTACGGTCCTCACAATCTACGTTTCGTGGCCAGTCACAACGCCATTCTTCCAGGTTGAACCAAAGGTCCGGAGGGCAACTCATTGCAACAGGTTTACCAAATGTACATTTATAAAAATTATCACAATCCTCGTGTCTCAGAAACAATTCAATTTCCCAATTAGTTTCCTGTTCTTTCGGGCATTCTTGTAATTGGGACCACCCCACGGCCGCGCAAACGATGACCAATAATGCAATTATTCCTAAAAATAAAAATAATTTAAATCTAAATATGAAATAATAATAATAAATTTCAAAAATGCAATATGAAAAATTTATGATTATAGTATGGAACACAGGTCACAGGATTAAAAAAAATACAGTCACGAACCTTTCATTGTGAGATACAAATCCGACTGAATGCTCCAACACCACGTCCAATTAGTTTTATACCTTCACTAAGATAGGAAACCATGTTCTTTTAATCTATAAGATGAGGAGATGATCAATTACTGCATTGCTTATCAACATTTACCAGTAGCAGACTATCGAA